GCATGATGTCAGTTTAAATGCAACCATACACAGCAGGCCTAACTGTTTTCTAAACCAAGTCTGAAAAACTCTCATATAATTACTAGCTGTGACAACGTGTGTGCGTGTGTGTCATCATGGCAAATGTCCTAGAGACACTTACTGTAGTGGAAACTACCACAGAGGCAGTTTTCAGTACTTTGGCAGGTGTTTATATGTCTGTCTGTCTGTCTGTCTGTCTGTCTGTCTGTCTGTCTCTGTCTGTCTTTCTGTGGACAGACATTTTTTTCATGACAGCATCACATTTGTGCAAAACAAGTCATGAAACTGAGTACTCATTACTCATGTAGTAGCCTAATACTGAGTATTCGTGGGTCAGAACGTCAACATGTTGATGGGTGTCGCAGCTGCTGTTATCCTACGGCCAGATAGTCCCTAGTTGCTTTTCATATTTAATCAGGATTTACATATAGAACTGTTTGATCTAAAAGAGCTGTGGAACTTATAGGTTGCGAGAAGTTAGCTTGATTGGATGTTCTGTGTACTTTGGTGTATGTGGAGATGTCTTCCAGCCGGTCAAAAGAAATTAAATAAAAATCTAAATGTATATTTCTAATGCAGGAATTCTGTTGTCTGATGCTAATTACTTTCTCTAGTTTTCTAGTGTTTTATGGCCATTGAAGCATCTGTGCAAGAGGCTGCATACTTGCAAATTAGCTAGCACCATAGAATTAGCCTGGATGCTAATGAGTTGCTGCTTCCATGCTAATGACTGATATTTTAGTCCACAGTAACAGGCGGTGTACTGATGCATATTGTCAGGGCCAGAAGAGTGAGTGTGTAGGAGGCTGAGGCCGCCTATTCAGCCTCCTGGGATACTCATCATCTGGCTCGATTCAGATGCCAAAGAGCTCCATTGTTTGACCCCATTCAAACAACACCATTGTACTGAGCGGGTCTGATTGTGCTACTCTTTGCAATGCCGGAGTAACAACTGTGTTTGTGGTGTGTGTGTGTGTGTGTGTACGTACTTGTCTGTGTGTCTGTGCTGTGTTTTGGTGGCATTGTGTGTGAATGTTCAGCATTATTATATGAACGTGTCAGTGTCTGTTTGTGTGTGTGTGTGTATGTGTGTGTGTGGTATTGTGTGGTAGCAGCCCAACAGCATGCGTTTGCATTTCCCGAAGCAGGGGGTTTTCTCTGCTGGTGACAACAATGTAACCCAGTCATTGAAATGCAGCAGGGCAAATGCAGCCCAAACGTGACCCCGTTTTGTGGAGCTGCTGCCTGGAGCTCATGGTCAGAAGCTGCTGCTGCTGAGGGGGGAAAAAAAGTAATTGAAATGTCTGTGAATGCTCAGATTTGTAACCTTTTCATAACATTGTCCTCTGTGGGTTTAATCACAGACATATTTTGCACATAAATCATAATACAGTCATCAGAACATGTGACGATTATAGCAATGAACAGATGGGAGTGGGGCGTATCTGCAGAAGACAGTGGGCTTTGATTTGCCCGTGTCACTGTTCTGTATGTGAGTGTGTTTTCTGTTTACTTGCCTGTATGACCAGTGATTCTCCTTCCCAGCATCATGTTTCTAGGATCAGAGCAGTAAGTCAAAATGTCCCTGCTGTGGTTCTGTTGTTAACCACCAGATTGGCTAGTGAGCATTAATCATAACTGTACGTTTTTATGTAGCTCTGTTTGCAAGTAGAACTTTTGGAAAAATACTATATGGAAATAATTTGTGGGAAAAATTTCACTTTACTTGAATAGATCACACTGCATCTGTTTGATTCCAGATTGTTCTTTACGTACAGTCACCACTTTCTTTTATTTCCTGTTGCTGCTCCTTCACTTTGATCAGGATATGTCCTGGTATATGATTACCAGCGTCTGAATTGTAAAGCTTCAACTGTCTTCTACCACTGATTTGTAAGGTGCAGACTCTTTTCTGCCACTTCTCATTTTGGATTAGTGAAATCTGTGAGTGGTGTTTCTTTCCATACTGTCAGCTGGGTGTTTTCTTGTCCCACCCTGCTCGGTGTGAGACACAGTCTAAAGGGACCTGCTCTTTATGTATGTGTGTGTGTATGGACGTCTTTCTATTAGGACTGCAGCTAACATTTACTTTCATTATCAATTAATCTGTCGATGATCTTTTCTGATGAATAGAATCATTAGTTAATTTAATGTCAGAAAATGTCCATTTCTAATTTTCTTTTCTAACCCCAAAATATTAAGTCTACAATGATATAAACCAGAGAATAGCAGCAAACTGAGAGAACCTGAGGGATCATAAATAAATGAAGATTAATCGATTATCAAAATATCTGACAGTCAAGTAATTGATTAACTGATTAATCGTTTACACCTTAGTTTACATGACTCTCCTTGATTCTGTCAGGTGAAGAGGCTCTTGTGCCACTTGCAGGATACAGCTTGAGTTATGCTTCTCCAAGTAGGGGACAGAGACGTTCATGTAGCTGGTTATTGTATGAGTTTTAGTTTTAGTTTTTTTTTTCGTTTCTGTTTCAAACCCACTTCCCGGCAGGAGTTGCACTAACAAATAATGTTGCTTAACTCACAGATTGTGTTGTGCACATTGGCTCCTCTGCAAGCTACTGTTGCCTATAACACCCTTCCCTATATGGGTTCACAGAGATGTTTGCTTTTATATTTGGAGAGGCACTGTTCCAGTTTTAAACAGCATAATGCACACATTCATGTGCACACACACACACACACACACACACACACACACACACACACACATTGATGCACATGCAAATATTTTTACTGTTCTTAATGTCTCCACAGTGCAACCATATTTTTGACAAATGTCAGTAATCCAGTAAAAGATCTTCACGTTCAGTAAGTTCATCTTTTTTGCTGCTTTATAAAGAGCGACTTGTGTGAGTGTTTTGGGTTGTGGTGGCCAAAGCAGTTCCAAGCCCCTTCTTTAAAACAGTTTTACTTCCAGTTTTAGCCATCGTCACAGTTTTGGTTCCTGCCTCAGTCTGACAGACAACATGCAAACCCATGAGTACACTCTCTGTCAAACCAATACAACCAAACACCTAACTGTTGTCAGTTTCTCACACCACCCTTCTCAATGACCTCTGACATATTGGAATTGGTAAGCACAGCTGTTAACACAGCAAATTATTCAAAACAACAGAGTAAAAATGTTCTTGACATGTATTCAGACCCACATCCCACCTCCTGATAGATGTGATGCATCTGCATTGTCTGGACCAGTCTCTGTGAAAATGAGTTTGTCTCCAGGTTCGTTCCCTCGAGCTTTGGCCTTAAAGGAGGGTGGTGGCAGGGGAGAGGAAGTCTGAAGGAAAAGTGATAATGAACCGACTAGAGGCCTAGTTTCTATTTTGGTTGGGAATTGGTTTGTCTAAATGGGATGTGAGTCAGAGAAACTGCACAGTAAAGACAGATGGAGGCATGGTGTGACAAAAGAGGATGAAAATTCTGTGTCTGGCTCCTTTTTTGACTTTTCATCTGAGAATAAAATTAAAGGTCAAAATGAGAGAGGACTTGTCTTGTTACCAATAATTTGGGTCTGGACATGAAATGCTTGAGAGATACTGGTAAGGGGCCTCCTGGGGTTGGTGCAACCCTCTTAAAAAGCACAATGAAAACTATTTCAAAGTCAAAAAGTAGACTCACTCTGCCCATGATTGGCTGGAAGGTTTGTCATTACACATGACAAGAGTTTGGATTTTTGTTCACAAATTGCACCCTATTTGTTTTGGGTCACTTGTACCAAAAAGGCCTCAGCGATAATGCAACGGTGCTTAAGCTGAATAACAGTTATTTTTAACTTATGTGTGTGCTGATTTTGTCAGACGACGTCACGGTTATAAAATCAGGATTTTAGCAGCAGCTTGAGAATGGCTCGGAAGTGGCTGCTGTTTAACATGTAGTCCTAACTGGCTGCGTTTCAGTCACTATTTCAAACTTGTTTCATTGTCTGAAATCAGAAACAGAAAGACACGTAAATGAAAAGAGCTTTATTGGGAACTCAGCCATCTTAAATAGTTCAGCCATGTACTAGGTTTTGACCAAGTCTTGTTAGATATCAGACTATCGTATTAATAAATGCGTTCAAGTTACAGAACCAATAATAAGTTTTTCTGAATACAAGCCAGCAGCAAACTGAATATGTTCCACTCCAGAATGATAGAAGATTCTTTGATGTTTCTAGAAATATCTTTGAAAGAGGAGTACGTGGTGTCAAACAGCCTGCAGAGCTGTTCAAAGTTTGGCTCGTGTTTGTGTTTCTGAAACACAGATGCTTAGCTGTGTGACTAAAATGTAGTCTAAAGCAAACGTCTCAAATGTAAAAACTGTGATTACGTGAGAGGTACTCCCACAGTGTCTGAATCGGAGCAGGCGAGTGTGTTTACTCGCTGCGTCCTGAGCAGCACCATGGAAACTTTCAGCAGCAGCAGACGACACCAGGCGTTATCAGCGACGCCGAGGCCTCCTCAGTGTGGGACGAGTGAAAAAATAGAGGGAGCAATCAGTGTGGTCCCATGATTCCTAGTGAGCTGTGAAGGAATGACAAGTAGGGTCAACCTCACATCTCAGATGCCATGCTACGTACACACAAACAAACTCACACACACACACATATTTTCACACCCTTTTTGCATGTCTTTGCTGGCTCAAAATATAAAATCTAATTATTCCTGTTGATCACCAGGAACCGGAGCTGACTCACAGCAGAGAGAACATACTGTGCATATGGGCACACACACACACACACACACATGCAGACACACATGTACACACACACATGCACACACACATGACTGACCCTCCCCATACTGTACACACACATGCGCACACTTATGCATACAAGTGCTCTACAGCACACTCTCACTTCAGCTTTACACAGGATGTTATGAAATCAGCACTGCTGCTGAAACTTAGTGAAGGTCGCTGGGAGTCCTCTCTCTCACCCAAACACCCACACACACACACACACTCACACACACTTCACCTGGCACTTACACACTCACACACACATTCCTGTGTAGGGAGCTGAAGCTCAGCTCAGTCCCAGTCCTCTCCTACTCGAGCGAGGAGCCTGCCGGTGATCGGACTGTCGCCTGAAGCGAAGAGGCCGGGCCGGTGTTGATTCAATTTTACAGCCCAGTCACTCTCTCTGAAGCTCCGATTAGTCAGCCGAGGGAGACGAGGGGGAGAGAAGGAGAAGAAGAAGAGGAATAGTGATGGCTATGACCGACATTGCAGAGGATGACCTGGATGAGATGATGCGTGAAGAAGCGGAGGATGTCTTCTATGAGGACGGTAAGCTTGCCAAGGGTCAGTTGTGGAGTATGAGAGAGCAGGCGTGGGTTTACAGGTGGGCTGTGGCTGAGACAGCTGCTGGAGGATTACAGCACGGTCAGAGTGGTTGGTTTGTTTGTGACTTGTGGTTGTGATCAGGGTTAAGAAGAGGGTGATGGTTGAAGTGTGGCCCAGAGGGATCTCTTCAGCTGTGTAGGTGGGGTTGTTTGCTGTATGGTTGTGTAGGCACTGATACACACACTGATGTTAAAAAAAATCACCAATAATTGATTTATCCTACTGTAGAAGAAAGCAGAAATGTATGCCACTTGTGAAAGTCACTATGCAGTAGTTAGTTTAGTCAGAGTAATTAATACTTGTAATGAGAACTCCATGATTTTTGTCTCCAGGTCCCCTTTTGCAGGAGCTCTGAGCAGAGTTTGTATATAGATTTTTCAACTTTTACCCTTTTTTAGAAAGCAGACAGGAGCTGTGCCCTCTGCAGTGTGGGCGTTCTTGTATAACAGGCAGATGTTTTTAACCAAGCATTATGCACCACAAGAGAATCTTTTCAACATGTACATTGTGTGAGAGTTTGTTATTTTAAAACCAGCTGTAATCATTAACTACAGGCAGTTGGACCCGAAGGATGAGCAGTAGAAGCATCAGTCAGCAGGACCTGACTAATAATTATTCACAGGCAGAAAAAAAACAGGGATGTGCTGTCAGGTTATGTAATAATTTGAATATTGTCTATTATAAAAATATTGTTTATTTTGGGAAAATATGCTCATTTGCTTTCTGGCATTAGAGTTAGATTAGAAGACTTATACCACTCATACCTGTAGGTTAAATACATGCCACAGACAGCAGCCAGTTCACTTAGCTTTAGCATTAAGTCTAAAATCAGGGGGAAACTGCTAGCTTCGCTCTGTCCAACAGTAACAAAATCCATTTACCAGCACCTCTAAAGCTCTTTATTTAACATGTTGTATTTTGTGAATATCTGATTTTTGTTATCAGTCAATATTGTCCCTATATTATATTCCTTTACCTCAGATGAAATTGTACCCTCTTTGAAACACACACACCAGTGGCAAAATGTTCACTTACATTTATTTTGAACCAATTTCACAGTTTCAGTGTAAATTGTTCTTCTCCAGCTCAAAAAAACATTCTCTTCAGCACTCAACCGCACACACACACACACACACACACACACACACACACACACGCACACGCACACACACAAACGCTCAGAGCTCTAAGTGCTCTGCCATGTATTATCTTTAAACCTGTACAGAGAAGTGTTTAATTGCGCTTCATCTGCTTGCACTGTACACATTGCAACACCATGGTATTAAAACATTTTAACATATAGTATATCTAAGCTCCATACAGGCTTTAAGTGCTCTGCAGCAGCTCCTCAGATGATGAGTGGACAGTGAGCAGGAAGATATTCCCAGATATTGCATCATTTGGTGTGTAATGTATGTTAATGCCTCCATTGACCCACTTCTGACTGAGATGTGACGTTCTCTTTAAACAACACAGCCAGGAGGTACGCAGCCAGATGACTCTCTGCAACAAACCAGCCAATCACAGCATCCAGATTTATACAGAGGCTGGCCAGCAGGCATCAGTGTGTTTATTCATAGACTCAGCTGAAGGTTGCAGAATATGGATCACTTATATTTTCTGTTCTAATTAGCTCTTTGGATTAGTCATGGAAATTAGACTGTGTGTGTTGTGTTGAATATTTAAATATTTGATTCTTATTGGTGCTGAATGCAAATTTATCACCACTGGCCTATTTTCTTTCTAAATCATTAGTTTCAACATTAGTAGTGGATGTGTAAATCTTTGAGTTTTTCTACCCACAAAATTAGAATTTAGCGTTGAATGAGCTCACTTTGAAGTGTGTGATTTTGCAATAGTTTTATGGACCCCACATGGAGTCACAAGATGTAATTAAGATGTCTCCAGATGACTCCTGGTCATATAAAAAAATATAAAAAATCATGGTTTTCTCTAGACTTATATTTCTTGTGAAATACAAAATATTAAAAACTAAATATTCAAATGAAACAACATGAGAAGGGAAAACCTTCAAATGAAATTCAAGTCATGGAGATGCAACCTTTATCGAGCTGTCATGAGCAGACACGGCTTTGCATTTAGGGGTCTCAAGAAAAAAAATACAGCCACACTAGCAGCTAGCTTTGGGTTAACGCTAACATTAGCATCCTGAAATATTGACAATGCTACCATACTGATATTGAGTAGAGGTAATGTTTACCATGTTCACCATCTTTGTTGAGCCTGTTAGCGTGCTAATATTTGCTAATTAGCACGGATACACCTGATCATTATCTGATCACCTGATTAATATTGAGGGCAAAGGTAAAGCCTAGAGGCCCTGAAGAAAGCACCACACTTTTATTACCACAACTGCAAGCATGACCTACATGAAGCACTGACCTCAGAGTTACTGTAATAAAGAGGGAGGAGATCCGCTGTATTAGCTGTCACCTCTGCACTCACAGTGACAATAGTTGTGGTATATAGCATGGCTAGCTTGTCATTACTGTGCTGCTGTCAGTAGAAAACTGAATTATGACCAAAGGAGAACTACTTTTAGCCTGGCCTGACAGACAGCGACAAGCATACTTTCTCCCTCTCTTTATCTGCCTCTCCTCCTCGCTCACACACTCAGCGACTCCAGCTCAGGTCATATAAATTAGAAAAAAGCCTCGGTTATCTTTACTCCACGGGAACAATGTGTTTTAGCTTCATCCCCGCCTCAGTCAGTGCACCCATTTTAGTCAAAGCAAAAAGCAGATGCTTTACAGAAGCATGAAAAGAGACTCGCTGTAGGCAGATTACCATTTTCAAGATATGAAATTTGGGGCACATGTTGACTGGATTGTACCCTCTGTATTTATGAATGTGGTTCCTGCATATAAACAGTATACACATTTCACCACAGAGGTCTGAGTATACTGAGGTGGTGAGTAAATAGTAGGTATGCTGATTTGTGTCCTGATTAAAGGTGCTGTTCAGCCATATTCTGTCAATCACCTTTACTAGTATTTAGCCATGCAGATAGTTTTGGTTTCATTTTGTCCAAGTCTATAACCATGAGGTCTGTGGATTATCCACAGTAACCAGGACACATATTGTGTGTTGTGCCCACTGAAAGCTTTTTCTGCTGGTTGAAGAAACAGTTTTCCAAACATATTTAGAAGGCCAGACTAAGAATGGCGGTATCATCTTCCTTCATAGTGAGATAACTATCAAACGATATAAAAACTAGTGACAGAAAAAGACGGCAAATGTGGATGTGATTGTATTTGAAGTAGTTGTACTACTGTTAATCCACACAATAACAACTCTCAAACTGACACATTTCTTTCACCATTTTCATTGTGAAAACTGCTAAACTGTTGACTGTCCGTGCTGAATGAAAATGGCATCAGTAGTACATATCCCAACTACTGACTGGTTGAGGCAGAAATCTCAGAGACAGAAATCTCAAATCTATATTAGTGACGAGCTACCGCCAGAAGTAGGTGACAAAAAATGTATTTTTGTTTGTGAGGTTTTGTTATTTGGGTCAACTGACCCTTTAAAGATGCTTTGACATGGATGAACATTTTGGCTTTTCAGGTCACTGGGATCCCCAGGCATTTTGGCTGCTGCTGCAGTTGCTGCAGATCATGATCAGATAAAAACTTTCAATTTTTTCTTAAATACTGTAAAGGCAACTTATTTGTCCCTAGTTTGACCGCCATGCATTTGTGAGTGGTTTTTGGAGGATTTTCACAAGCGCAGAGGTCATAATCTTAGAATCTTTATCACTAAGGTACAGGAGAGGCTGTAGAGAGAGATGTTTGCTTTACTGATTGTTCAAATGCAAATGAATAAATTATTGTTTGCAATAGGTCACAGTTTTGTGTTGACATAGGCTTTAATACAAAGATATCTTTCATTGAAAAAAGCAGCTACAAAATAACTGTCAAGCATTGAACTTTGGTTCGATGCTCACCCTGATGATTACCCATGAGTGCCTTCGAAATAACTCCTGCACGAACCCCCATCTGACCTGAATGATTTTATTCAGGGTTCACAAAAACTATAGTCAAAGCTTAAGTGGTTTTACACACATTAGCACAAACACAACTCTGCTTTCTTCCCTTGTTATCACACTTTACCACGGATACACACCTGCACAGCCGCCTTTCTTGAAATGAAAAAGAGACCAAAATAAACACACAATGGCTTCTTTAACTCTTTCTTCCTCCCTATGAGTAATTCAAAGAGCCTGATTTTGCTCTGCTAGTTTACTCATGTGGTCAGCAGTGAAGTAGCAAGCAGTGTGCAAAAGCAAAGTACAAGAGATTAGTGTGTCCCGGAGGAGAGTAGTAGTAAGTAGCAGTAAGGTTTTAATGATAGTAAAAATACAGTTGAGTATGAGATCAATGGTGCCGTGGTCAGAATGAACGGTCAGTGTTTGGTGTCTAAATAAACCAGTATTTGACTAACTGGGTCAGGTCAGAAATCATAAAGAGCTGCTTTGAGTCACAAGTGAGGAGCTCCTGGAAATGTCTCGGCCATTAACACCACAGGACTCGGCTATCAGAGTTCCTCACAGCATCTTGAGTCATATTTATTCTCAGAAACCTTGTAGAAAAAAGGCTTCCTTTGACATGCCAGCCTTTAGAGTCTTTTAAATGTCTTGTACATCTGTGATTTGCAGTTTCATGTGTTTCACCTGGAACTAAATCCCTGTTATCTGATACAGTTTGTTGTGCTAGTTTTGAAAAAGTTTATCTGCTGTCATGCAGGAATGTTTCATATTGTTCCTGTTCTTTGCGCAATAGGATGTGTTTCTACTCCTCCTCTGACTACCAATTACGTTACAAAACCACTAATTGCAGGGCTTAACAGCTATTGTTTTTTGTTTTTTTTTGGTTGGGTTTTTTAAAACTTGCAATGACATATCAATCACTCAGATTTTA